AATCAGAGGAAAAAATCCCGGCCGGCGATCACGCCGACTCTTCACTCATCAACAATTAAGAACATCACGCGCGCCTCAAAAATCCRCACGCCCACACACTCTCCATTCTAGTCGACCATCCAGTCAGCGCAAATCACAGGCGCAGCCGTGCCTAGCACGGTATACTTAAACTTTAAACCAAACTATTTTCTGTCGCTTGCAAAAACCAGGGCGGATACCCTTGTACGGGTATTCGCACCGACAACGGGTCCGCGGGGCTGCGGACGCGTACGCGGATGTCCGCCGCCGAGGGGGATACTTAGCCCACAAATGCTTGGCTAATAGACCACACTCACCTGGAACAGAAAGGGGTTGCAYTGCCCTGGTGTCACGGGTGCCTCCTTGCCTTCCCCTCATATAAATGGAACGAGACCATCGAACACATCTTTATGCAGTGTCCGGTGGCCGTACTGACGTGGCGCTGGTGGGACAGGGTATGGCGCAGGATAGTACTGGACACCCCCTGGCCGTGGTCCTGGAGGGCAATTCTGACTGGACACTGCCCTGCGAAGGCCACAACATCTTCCTACACAAAAAACTTGTTCAGTCTTGGTAGGAGAACAATCCTTTGGGCCCTGTAGTGGCAGCGATGCCTTCTCAGCCTGGAAAGCGTCAGAGCGGGGGACGGAGAGCTAAAAGAACAGATTAAGGAACAGATCCAGATGGAATTGCTGCGTAGATGGTATGATTGGAAGAACCAGCTGGATACCTTCYAAATGGACYAGGATATTAAGCGGGCCCTTAAAGTTTTCTGCACGGACTGGCTTGGGGGAGACCGAGGGGGATGGGTAGCTACGGTACAGTGGGGAGGAGATCAATTTAGTGGACAGGCCAGAGCAGAACAGCCTCCCCCTAGGGATTACCGCCTGGTGTTTAATGATTGGACTAACTTCGACCCCTCATTCCCCATGTGACCCCCTTCTGATTTCCCGGACCCCTTTCCTCCTCACACACTTTCTTTAGTTGAGACCTTTGCTTGAATAACCCCTTGGGTAACACAAAGGTTCGACAACATTTTTGGGACCTCTGAGAGCCTGCGAGTGTCAGGTCGACGACAGGAAGTGAGGGAAGCAAGGGAGCAGGGTCGGAATCCCTCATGCTCAGAGTAGGCAGCGCAGTCACATCAGGAAGAGGTGCTTTTTCTGGCGGTCGGATCGGGGCGGAAGAAATGTCTCTGCAATGCTTACTCCCCGGTGGCCCCCGGGAAATGTTTACCAGAAGATACATTATCCCTTCTCTGCCCAGTAAATCCTCTGGATACCAGAGTACTCAATGCTGGTAGGAATCTCCTTAACCCCCTATCTAAGTGACCTCCCATTTCAATTTTATTTCAATTTTAACAGCGATTTCGTCAAAACGGACATTTTATATTTTTTCAACGAAATTGATCATTTTCATGGTTATTTTTGTGTTTTTTTATGTTAAGAGCACACCATTTTGGGGAGGTACCCCACATTTGTTTATATTTTGTGCTCATGTTGACCACAAGTTTCAAATCACTTTCTCACAACTTTTGGGGGGTGTTACAATTTTATTGGCATTATGTGAAGCTATAGGGGTTTTTATGATGGGTTTTATTGTACTTTCAATCATACCGATTAACATTTACTATGTCTTGCAGAAAAAAGATTCAACGACTTTTGGTTCTTAATCGAAAACYGCAATAAGAAAAGAGAAACATATTGAATATCATACTAAAAAACACATGTCAGGTTTAGTCAATGACAAAAAACTTCATGGACGTCCATAAAAGATGGAGACATATAATACATGTTCCATTTAAATACATGTTCCAGTTAAATACGTGTTTCAGTTAAATTCAAACACACATAAAAAACACAAGTTCACATAGAAAGACTCCATGTCTCTCTCTCTCTCTCTATCTCTCTCTCTCTCTCTCTCTCTCTCTCTCTCTCTCTCTTTCTCTATGACAATATCGACAAAAGTTGGTGACCTGGCCTTGATACATTCCTCTGTACTATGAATATATGCACTCGTAGGTGAGTGCACAAAAGTTCAAAAATCCGACATCCTTGTTAATAAACTAAATCTGGCAACTGGCGAAAAAAAATAAACGATAYTCTACTCTCRTACGTGAGCGCATGATATWCTCTATTGCCAGACATTTGCTAAGCTACAACTTCTTTACAATGGAATGTCTGGAAGTGCAACAACGATGCAAGTGAACAAGGTTGTTACTCAGTCCGTTGGCTCGGTGGAGTACACTGTTCGTGATGTTGAAGTTGGTGGTTAATTTGTTTTTTTT